TTTCGGACGTGGCATGGCATATGTGGAGTATGCTACGCCGGAAGAATGTGAGACGGCTATGAAACAGATGGATGGCGGGCAAATTGACGGTCAAGAGGTTACTGTATCGCCGGTACAAGCACTAAAAATTCGTCCTCCTGTTAGGCGCCCTTCACTCACAATGCGACGTCCAGCTGGTCGCTGGCGCTCACCGCCGATGTTTAACCGATTTAATAATCGCGGAAGGCGTTCGCCTCCCCGCGGCAGGCGTTCGCCTCGGCGCCGATCACGATCACCTATTCGTCGACGCCGGCGCAGTAATAGCTCAGACAGCTCACGTTAATATTCGTGCACAAGGACGATCAATGCAAGTTTTAAAAAGGAAACCTGAGGGCAAATAAGGATATATCCAGTACTTGCTAATAAAATGTTATTATTTAAATTTAGTTACTTGGTATTTTACGATTAGGTCGTAGACGTAATCGAGCCCTAACCGCCAAAAAGACGTAATCGACATTTTTCTTTTTGATGTAGAAATGTTCCTAGAATGCATGGTACAATAATTACAGGTATTGTCTTCCCAGAGAGTTTTGCTTCACATCGAAATTCGTGCTCCCTTATTTTCATTTTGACGCAGTTCAATGTTGATTCTTTTACTTTTATTTGGCTTTGCTTTTTGCTTTCGCTCAATGTAATTTCTATAATTTTTCAAAACAAAATAAAAAACGTTTGAAATGAAGTGAGCCATACAAATTTTGAGTTTATTTAAAAAGCAAATGTTTTCTTTCGGCATTTGCAAATTAATTAAGTCCTCTGCAAGAAGCTTTGTTTAAAAAAATACGTGTACATATATGGTATACGTAGCAGTAAACCTTTGTGTGGTCAACAATGTTTTTCAAATAAGGCAGATCGGAATATGCGCTCTCTGGGAAGACGATACCTGTAATTATTGTACCATGCCTAGAATGTATAGATTTATTTCTGTATAAAAAAAAAAAAAAATGTCGCTTACGTCTTTTTGGCGGTTAGGATTCGTTATGATAATACAAACGTAAAGTCAAAGTACGGTATCAAATTCACTAATTAAAAATTTAGAATCGTATGATATCAACAACGCTAGCGACTTGAGGCGATTTTATCAAAAGAGTTTGAGAAAATATAAAAGTAATTGCTATATACCATTTATAAATGCATAAGTCTTTTCTTGACGTATATATGTATGTATGTACATGATTTATGTATATAGTAGGCGAGGAATTAAACCTTCTATTAAAATCTTAACGAAATACAAAGATAATGTAGTTTCTTATTTGGAATTACGTATAAATGGTTAATGTATAAACGTGCAATGCTCAGATGATAGGGGACAGCCATCTGGATGATGCAGATGAAAGAAGCAGACACGCTTTTTGACCGTTTGTTTAGCCTTAGAATTTGGTGTTTGGACAAGTGGTTTCCGTATTCCTATAAAATCTTCCCCTAAAAACTCAAATATTTCATGTTTATTCCGCAGCAAAGTTTTAATACCACCACATTCGGCTTTGATGTTTTGCAGATCGGTCCTCTCTAGATTTTTGACAATTTCATACATACGCAGACGGATGCCTGTCCGCCATTTACTTTCATCTTTATCTGTGGGTATATTGCTAGCAGCAGACAAGAGTTGATGAAATATTTTTAAAACTAATGAATCTATAATATTCTTTTCGATTTGGGTACAATTTCGCACTGCTTCATGTCTGTTACGTAACTTCACGTCCGCATTCGATGTGCAATTGCCATATTTTATTCGCTCTTCTCTCACAAACGCTTCTATCTCCTCAAGCCTTCTTTCATATTCATTTTGTGAGCAAGTACGATCAATTCCTATGAGTGCCAGGCGCTTTGTACTTGGAATTTTCAAACGATCTTTCCATGTATCATACCCACAACTTTGTGAAATAGTTTGCAAGTAGGCGTAAAAATCTTGATATACGCTGGTACTCGTATTCCGCCGTTGAAACTTTATGCCAGACAGCTCATATGCGCAACAGGGCAGAAGAAAGTAACGCATTTGAAAACCGCTGGTGGCGGCCAAAACGGGCAGCCATGGGGAAAGTTCATCGGAATGATTTCCAATTAACCAGTCTACATCTTCTGGCAACTTAAATTTATGTGGTTCAATTGTCTCCTCAATTAATCGCGTCGATGCTGAATAATAGGACCAAATTTTGCGTGCACGTACATCATATCCATAGCCATTAAACCCTTCTTCGCTTAGCAAATATACTAATAAGCCGTTGCCGCAACCCAAATCGGCAAACCCAATTGGTGAACCAACGCGGCGCCATAAGGAAATTAAATAAGCAGCTATCGCCAAATCCTCGTATATGAATTTCATAGGGTCGGTAGATTCTTTTGCGGTGTTCCAGCACTAGGAATGTGAATATTGAGTTTTTCAAACTTTGTTTTATGTAGATACGTGCAGACCAAATGTATTTGGTTTAAATCTAAGTTTCTTACATTAAATGCTTTTTCAGCGTATTTAGACTTGAGCATCTTGTAAAGCTCGTTGTATTCCTCCATGTCAACTAACTGCAGGGATTTGGTGTGCTTACTTCTCTCTCCAAACAGAAGCGTACTTGGATTGGTGCACCACTTTAACAGTTTTGGTTTCAAAACGAAGTCAATCCATCCTTTGCTCTTGCCCAGTACGCCACCGTCAGTGAATGCATTGAAAGACAATTCGCCATTGGCCCAGTAAACGGAAAAATCGTCTAGATGATCACAGTGAAACTTACAGGTGTATGTTTTTTTTACAAGATCTAGTCAAAATAATTTGAAAAACTTAATACGGTTTTAACCTCACAATAGTAATTCATTTACCTATTTTTCCTACAGCCTCGATATTCTTGTGCAACTTCTTTGTCAAGAATTTAAAAAGTATTAGAAATCCATCGCAATCTTCACGGGTGTAATCAGATTCTCCGATTTTATGGAGAACAGATTCCATATCAGCTTCCGTGGTTTCGTGCACATTCTCCACATTGTTCCGAAATTTCCATATATCATGCAACCGACAATCATCCCTTTCGAAACATTTTTCAATTTCCTTATTCACTCTAAGCACTTTATGTATTATACAGGCAAAAATTTTCCTATTAACTGCGTGATAATTTCGCATCAAAATAAGAACGCCGGCCCAAAATTGAGCCTCCGTAAGAAATCCATCCATTTGTAAATACTCAAAAATTTCTGAAAACATACATAAATACCCTGTAAGATCTCGGAATATACTTAGGACCCTGTCACACGGTCAGTAATTATCGCGATATTTGGATCGCGATGCATATTGATGGATTGATGGATAGCGCACGAATACTACATGTTCAATATTTATCGTGTCAGTATTTGCATAATTTTTGTGCTGAACGCTTATTATGACACAAGAAAACATTTTTATTTTTAACCGACTTCCAAAAAACGAGGAGGTTATCAGTTCGTCGGAATATTTTTTTTTTGTTTTTTTTTTTTTTATGTATGTTACCGCATAACTTTGCACCACGTCAACCGATTTCAATAATTATTTTTGCGGAAAGGTAGTGTCTCGGAGGTGGTCCCATACTAATTTGGTTTAGATCCGATCATTGGATCATGAAATATATAGATATAGATATATTTTTTTTTTAAGTCGGTTTTTTTTTTTTTTGTTAAAAATTACTTGTGTACGTATAATTTACAGAAAATGCATAATTTCCAATGTCAATTAAAATTCGTTCAATTTGTTTTGAAAGATTTTAAGCCCCGAGAGCGAAGGCAGAGCGCATACGTTTTCGATGTTCGCATTATGAGAGTAAAAAATGTACTGACGAAATCTATGGATCGCGTTTTGAAAGTGCTACACGTTCAATATTTATTGACGGTATTGCAATTCGCGATCCAGACTTCAAAATTTTTAGAAATTTTGCGATATGGGTCACGATCCATCAATACTGCATGCTACACCGTCAATAAATATCGCGATACTTGGATCACGTCAATAAATACTGGCCGTGTGACAGGCCAGACATACTAAACAGTGCAAAATACTATTTACATACATTTAACATTCAATGACCAAGCCTTGTATTTTTATATTTACATGCGTATTATTTAAACATCGGAATTAACAAAAAAATGCAGATAACTGCGAAAATATACGGGCACGAACAATATATAAATTAATAAATACGTTTTAACTTAAGCTTTGTAAATTGTACTTTTAAAATATTTAAATAAATCTGAGTTCTCTTTTAAATCAATAGCATTGCATTCATGGCCGTACCTTTTTAAGTAATCCTTGGTATAAAGAATACCGCTTAGGCCCAGTTTTTCAGTGCCAGTTTAAACTTAGATTAAGTAAACTGAATTTAATAATTAACGCTTATGTTTCTATAAACTGGCAACTCATATCGTATTTTTTATTAAAAAACGTGAATTTTGTGCATTTATCGAAGAAAACTCTAAATTTTATTTAGATCTTTATTCCAAAGACAAACAAGGTTTGTTAAGTTATAGAGACTCCAATTCCTGCCACCGCATGCGTTAAGCACACCCAAGTTTGAGTGGAACTCCTCAAAAATACTTAACATCAAATTATAGAATATCACAAATATGAATCATACACACATACAGTAGCAATTGCTATGAATTGAATAAATTCAAGAAACGCATTTGGTTTGAGAGTGCGTTGGTTATGGCGGTCATAAGTTCAGCCAACACATTCAATGGTCCATTATCCCGTGCTGTTCCAATGTGATGAGTAGATTTTAGTGAACCTCACAAGCCACTGCCTCTAGCTACAAGCTGGATATCTGAATATTGGAAAATAAATAGCAATTATCTTTTTAAAATGAAAAGAAAAGTGTTGCTTTACGAAATTACCTGTGGCACTCTGCCTTAGTACGGTTGTTGCCCCCTTTCATACCACAGTAATTTTGTATGCAACTCTGAATCAGCAAATTCATGCTCCTTGTCATTATCAACCCTGATCGGATTTTACCCCCCAAAAGTTCTTAAAAAGGTTTATTACTTTATATTCTGTGTTTACTACTTTGTTCATATGTGTTTCGTTTCGTTTGGTATTTTCTTCCTTTTTTTATTTTAAAACAGAAAATCCTCTGCCATGTCCTTTATTCGCAACTCCTTAAAATATGTTACCCGTTCTTTCAGTCCTAGAAGTCAGCAACAGATTCTTCGAGTGGTAAGTCAAACTGTCTGTTGTCTCAAGGTCGCTAGTGGTAAGAAATTTCATTTTCACCAGCAGGTTTTGACTCGAGCAAATCAGTTTAGGTGTAGTGGCACCGTGCACGCTGATGACCAAGCTCAGTTTCCAGGAGCTAAAGCGCCATTCATATCAGAATTAAAGTTGATTTTGCACACTGACTATGAGCCTGTGCCAATTTATCGCGTCATGGACAGTGATGGTCACATTGCAAATGAATCTCAAGATCCCAAACTAAGCAAAGAAGTCGTACAGAAGATGTTCAATGACATGGTTTTGTTGAACACTTTGGACAAAATTCTGTATGAATCACAGCGCCAGGGGCGTATTTCATTTTATATGACAAATTTTGGTGAGGAGGCATCTCACATTGGTAGTGCAGCCGCATTAGAAATGAGAGATTTGATCTATGGGCAATACCGTGAAGCCGGTGTACTAGTTTGGCGTGGTTTCCGCATCGATCAATTCATTGATCAGTGCTATGGTAACTGTGACGATGTCGGGCGTGGAAAGCAAATGCCAGTTCATTATGGCAGCAAAGAACTGAACTTTGTGACCATCTCTAGCCCTTTATGTATGCGTTAAGACTTAAACTCAATCTATTGATGTTTTACATATTTCTTATTCAACAGCGACGCAGATGCCGCAGGCGGTGGGTGCCGCATATGCGATGAAGTTGAGACCCAAAAATGATGCTTGCGTTGTTTGTTACTTTGGAGAAGGAGCTGCCTCTGAAGGAGATGCTCATGCGGCATTTAACTTCGCGGCAACTCTTGAATGTCCAGTTATTTTGTTTTGGTATTGCATTATAGCGCTTGTTAGTAAAACAAAATGTAACTAAAACTTCTTAATTTCAGTCGAAACAATGGATTTGCCATTTCCACTCCATCACACGAACAATATAACGGCGACGGTATAGCTTCCCGTGGTTACGGGTATGGCATGGCAACTATTCGTGTAGATGGGACAGACGTATTCGCTGTGTACAACGCGACGAAGTTGGCCCGTGAATATGTTCTTCGCGAAAACAAGCCTGTGGTTTTTGAGGCTATGGCTTATCGGTTCGCACCACCTTCATTGTTCATTTACATAAACTAATCATATATCTTATTGTATAGCATCGGCCACCATTCTACATCAGATGACAGTACAGCTTATAGAGCAGCGGATGAAATTGAAGTTTGGAATTCCGTAAACCATCCTATTTCCAAATTGAAGAGCTACATGGTTCGAAAAGGCTGGTTCAACGAGGCCGAAGAACAAGAATTTGTAAAGGGAGTCCGCAAACAAGTTTTAAAACAAATCGGCGTTTCTGAGAAGAAACTTAAACCAAATTGGAAAGAAATGTTTGAAGGTGTTTATTGTGAAATGCCTGTACATTTGGCAGAACAAATGAGGGAAATAGAAGAACACATCAATAAGCATAAGAATCACTACCCAGTGAAAAGCTTTAAGGCTTAAATGCATGTACATATATGCGGCTTACAGCATGCCGGGTCATTCCGATATAACAAAGGCTTTGGCACAACTTATGGGACTCAGTAAAAGTGCATTTATTAATTTTAAGGAACCTATTCAAAATTGACTGCATATGTGCTAAAATATGTACATACACGCTTGCTTAGAGTGAAACTGGATCAAGTCATGATTTAAAAAATTGTACAGAAAAAAAAAAACAATTCCTTTAATGAAAAGTATTGTATACTTCTATTCATTATGCTGAATTTCCGCTAGGCATTGAAATGACAAAAAATGTATGTCATTTAAAAACNGGGCCTGAGCACACTAGCCTGCTCAGTCGGACTGAGCAGTCCACCACTCGAACGCACACTGGACTGGGCAGTCGGCCGAAAACAGGTTTCAGTTTTGTATACATGAACTACGCATGATTGGCTTAGTGCATGTGGAACATGCAAACAAAACGAAATAGAAAACATGTTGCCTATGTGTGCGTGTCAGTCCACCGTCAATCCGCTATTTTCGCGGACTGAAATGAGCGAGGTAAACTCGAACTCCCTTCCCCCTCTTATCCACACAAAACCGGTTTTAGGCGGACCGAGCAGTCCAGTGTGCGGAGGCCCAATGACTATTTTTTTAATGTAATAACACGATTCCTTTTTAATGCCCGACTTTGTCATTTGTAATTTTTGCCATTTAATGTCGAGCGGAAATCCAGCATTATAGAATTTTCTAAAATTTCTTTGGATTTGCGATTAACTGAATATAAACGGATAGAAATCATAAAGTTGGATTCGAATGTAATGTGTAATTAATATTTCTTTTTGTCGTAGCTGCCTTCGTGTAAGTTAACAAAAAAAAAGTATACTTAACTTTTCACTCCATGCTAGCGATATATGTACAATTTAGGTATTTGCAGGGGGTTCATGTAGCAAATGAATATAGAGTGATTGTGTTTGTAACTGTTTATTAATATATACCAATATAATTTGCATCGTATTTTTTAAAACTTTGAAGGTTTTCTTGTTATGGGGTAAAAAATAAAACTATTTAAATCATTAAATACATCGGCTGTCATCTAATACATCAATTGCCACTTTAATTAGGTAAACTGAATAAATTACAAAATCAATTATGATTTAAAGAAAGTGCTAGTTCATATCTGCGAATGGGTCATTATTACCAGGAATGAAAGAGTTTGTTTCAATGGCGATTATAGCCAAGTAAAAAGAAATGAATTTGTTACTCAAATATTGTCATCTAATACATTGACATAATAAAATGAGAAAAATATTCTCTAAAATTTTTTATAATAATCATTAACTGTAAAAATTTTAGGGTGTGCAGAATACACATTTCTTTTGCTGATTTTCTTAATTAGTGCGCAATTGATAGTCGCCATTTTGAGTTATGTACCTCACCCAGGGCAGCGCTTGGTAGCCGCTTTTCTCGATGATTTTCAAATAACGAACTTGTATGCCTGATGTAGTAAAATAAGGAATCTCGAAGCGAACCTGAATCGGTGGTTTTCCCTCATTGTTGTCTTCACTTTCAACACTTGGGAGACCAAAATGTGCGCGCATTAAGTACTCTTTTCCACCAGGAAATGATTTAATAGTCCATATGATAGCATTTTGCTCGGGGGCATATTTGCAACTGCCTATTGTTGTTTTAAATTTAGGAGAGTCTGCATCTGCAGGCACGGGAATGACTATTTCGACGTTGTTTGCAGTTGAGCGACGCTTGAATTGCGACTTGGCTTTTATCATGTACTCAACACGGGAGTGCACATGTCGTTCAATGACCGATTCAATCCAAATCAAAGGCTTTACCTGTTCAAATATTTTAGCAAGAATAAAAAGATTACCCTTTCCGAAAAATTCCCTAAATTCTTACGTGAGTGTTAAGTCGATAGGACATCAGTTCAAACTCTCCATCTGGCGGTATGAACGAAATGGTTCGGTCGTTCTCGAAACGAGATAGACGCACGCATTGATGAAATTTGACATCTTCCAATTCTACTGACTTAGATTTTCCCCGTCCTGTACTCTCGAATAATACTTTATCATTCAATCCCAATCGTAATTCTGGCATGCCAGACAAGTAAACACGCATTTTTATGGCGCCAACAATTTCACTGCGCAGCACATTTCCATTGGCGTTTGCCAATAGATTTACCGATTCAATTACATCAAGAAATACTTCGTTCTTACGATATTTAATGCCTTCAGAACGCCAAGAAACCGCATTGGTAACTGCAAGAGGTGGGCGGGGTTGGAGTTCGAGCTTATGACCTTCCTGTGTAATATACTCCTGCAAAATTTTGGAATCTGTCGTCTGCGGATAGCCGAAATCAATCAACTCATCAAGTAGTTCGTATATAATAACAAAATTGTCGCGAATGGATTCCTCTTCCAACTCTTTAAAATACTCCACGAACACTTGTGCAATTTTATGTAGAAAAACAAACACTAAAGCAATGTTAACATTTTTGTTTCGGGGAGTTGTTGAAACAATATAGAGATTGTTCGTCTTTATATACGCAAATGTGCTGAATGATAAAATAATAATTGTTTTAGATTAACCTCAAAAATTAGGTTTACAATTGGTTTACTTACTTATCAGCCGTCTGCAATATTGGAGTTATAAGACCCTCCTCTTCTCGTTCCATTAGCAGTGGCATAAACTTGTCAATAGCTGCCATATCTATGGTATCGCCACGATAGTTGCGGGAGATCAAAACTTTACCTTTGACATCAAGCACATATATGGCCGACGAGGACATTGCTGCACCTTTTTCTCTTATTCAAACCAAAACAAAAAGCCAACTAATCAGCTAATGATGAATATTTTGCAGCAGCTTTAGCTATACACCCTGTAAAATTTTTACTGCTATAACTTGTTCTTCAGCTGCAGCATCTATTTTAAGGCAATTTTACATAATTTATTGCAGTTATTTTGTAAATTAAATCAGAATAAAATTTTCACCAAGGTGTCACACAAATTGCACTGACGACGACAATTAGTGATGGAAAACTATCGATAGGGCTATCGATATATAGTATCGATGGTTTCATTTTTCAGCCACTATCGAATTTTTCTAAACCAGGCATGCCCAACCTCGGCAGAACTCCATAAAGCCTGCCTCGAATGCGGAAAATGCCAGCAAAACAGAAGAAAAGCGGCAAATGTGAATGTCGGTGATTATTTTGCACAAGTGATTGAAAAAATGTATTTTAATTTAGAAAATACATAAATGGAGGTGCAAAATATAAAATATTCAGTGAATGTGTAAGATACTGACGTGCCTTATTGTGAAAGTGTCCTTATCAATAATAAAAAGTGTTTGTAAGTGCCAAGTGTTTGTCAACAAGTGCCGATTGTTGGCGTCTGTGGATAAAAAGTGATCATTATTTTAAACAAAACTAGTGTAAAAAATGGTGTGTTTNAATTATGTAAAAAGTTTTATTGTGAACGTTGTCTGGCTGAAATTGGGAACACTTTAGGCTCGATTGTGTCAATAAATTCTATCTGGGTGTTTGAGGAACGTCGTTTTTTATCCAACTCAGATACATCTTTTTTGTAAATAAGAATTGTATTCAGAAACAAAATTTCTTCTTGGTGGCCGTAGCAAGTAGAGAGGAAAACTATTATCATTTATTAGAAGAGCCATCTGGCTTACAGGTGCACCATTTCAGTGCAAGAAGTTTTTCCTGAAGCAAAGCTGCATCTCTATAAGAGTATTGAATCAGACCCATTATGGAGCCAATAGACATTTCACGTTTGGAAGAGGCAGTGGTTGTATTTTACCGCTCAACTTCCCAACAGCAGGCCATAACGCACGAATGGCTGACGAAAGCTCAAAGCAGTCCACAGGCGTGGCAATTTTCATGGCAGCTAATGGAACTCGGCAAGGTAAAGTTATTGGATTAATTTATTACTCTGAAGAGACACTGAAATGAACATTAAGTATAGAGTCAAGAGGTGCAGTTTTTTGGCGCCGTAACGTTACACTCCAAACTTATGAAGTACTGGCATGAGGTCCCAGCCGAAAATCACGAAGAACTGAAGCAAAAAATTTTAGAGAAAATCATTCAATTCGCGTGTGGTCCAAAATTAGTCCTTAATCGGCTGTGCATTGCTGTAAGTAAACGTTAAAAATCGGATGTATTCATATGCTGATAAAAGAATATTGCAGCTCAGTGCATTTATAGTACATATGCTCGCGGAGTGGTCAACCGCCATAGAGGATGTAATAAATACATTTCAGAATCAGCATATACCAAACGTTAACAAAGAAATGCAATTATGGATAATGTTAGAAGTTCTACAGGCTATCCCAGAAGAGGTGTGTGTTATTTCAATAACAATTTGAGCAATATTAATTTTCAGCAATTGATTATCGCACAGATGCAAGCAATTTTCACTTCAGTTAAAAGGACGACTTTACGAGCTGAAGTAGCCAAACGTGCTCCATTAGTAATGGAAACCACTGAAGCTTATCTAAATATGCAACTTGAGCGTGAATGGGATAGCGAATGTTTCAGCAATATGACCCGTGCTGTTAAATGTGTTGGCACTTGGGTGAAGTAAGTAAACGACTTATATCTACGAAAATTGGGCTTTGCTTTACTATCCCCGTTTATAGGAATATTGGTTTCTCCATTGAGAATTGTCAGAATATTACAGCTATTTTGCTTAAAGTCACTAACAAATGTTACTGGCCCTGTGTACAGGATCCGAATGGAGACGGATGCATGTCTGCCGATGAAAACGAGTTAGCCGAGACGTGCCTGAAAACATTACTTAGTGTAATTATTCAGCCAGATTGTCACGCATATCCGAAAACAGCATTTATACTTATTAAAATGTTTTTGGATTCGCTTTGCGATATCACTAAAATAGAATGGAAGCGTGATAATAACAACGAAGACATTGTAGTCAATATTTACACACTATTTGTGTCTGCCGTGGAAAGGCATTCGCAGTTGTTGCTGAGGGGAATAACTACAACAGATCCGGAACTTTCGGGCCTATATGGACGACTTGTTAATGAAATTTTACAATGCACCGATAAACCGGGGATTTATCCAGTCGAGGAGTCGTGCAGTAGCATGGCTATGGGTTTTTGGTATTTACTACAAGATGAGGTTTTTGCTATGCACAATGAAGAGGAGCGAGTAAAGTGTTGGGAGTATATAAAACCATTGTATGCGCATCTCACGCGCATTTTGGTACGAAAATCGGAACAACCGGATGAGAATTCTATTGACAAATGGACCTCAGATGACTTGGAAAGTTTTCGTTGTTACCGTCAAGACATATCGGATACGTTTGTAAGTGTTGTTGTTTTTCTAATGGTTACGTAAATATTGTCGTATGTTTACTTTGTCCATAATGTATATATCTTATTATTTAGATGTATTGTTATGACGTTTTACATGAGTATATACTCGACATACTAGCGAATGTACTTGATGAGACTATAGCCGAATTGCAAACAACTCCTACAAAGTGGACAAAACTGGAAGCTTGCATATACTCATTTCAATCGGTAGCCGAGCATTTCGGTGCCGAAGAATCAAAACAGATACCGAAGTTGATGCGTGTTCTCTCAGAAATTCCTTACAGTAAAATGAACGAAAAGCTACTTGGCACCGCTCTAGAAACTGTTGGTTCATATTGTCAGTGGTTAAAAGAGAATCCGACATATATACCGCCCGCTATTGAGTTGTTGGTTCGTGGTTTAAATTCTAACATGTCTGCCCAGGCCACGTTGGGACTTAAAGAGCTTTGCTGTGTGTGTCAACTGCAAATGAAACCATATGCTGAACCACTCTTAAATGCTTGCCAATCGTCATTAGCTTCGGGTCAAATGAAAAATTCTGATTGTGTGCGTTTAATGTACAGCATCGGTAAACTAATGAGTTTACTTCCAGCTGCTAATATACCAAACTATTTAGACATCATAGTGAGCCCTTGCTTTGAGGAGCTACAAGCAATTTGCCAGAGTGAAAGCGTAAGAATGCAAGGATTATAAATTTGATGTAAATATGTTAAAAGTGCCCTCCTTTTTGAATTTAAAGAGAACGCCTGCAGCACGCGTTCGTACAATATTTCGCCTGAACATGATATCAACATTATTTTCCTCGTTGAATACAGACTTAGATGAAGATGATCAAATTGAAGATCTGGAAAATGTGCAGCCTGTACTAATTGTGATGCAGAAAACAATGCCAATATTTCGACAAATTGCTGAGCTCTGGGTGGAAGAATTAGACGTCCTTGAGGTACGGATTACAATACTAAAAGAAGGGTGTTCATTGATTAATTTAAAATGTTAATGCTTTCTCTATATAGACTGCTTGTACTGCCTTGCAACATGCAATAGTCAATCTCAAATCTAGTTTTCGACCCATGTTGCAAGACCTCTGTTGCTTTATTGTAGCTATTTTCCAAACTCGCTGCTGTGCACCCACACTGGAGATATCGAAAACGGTTACAAGTTTTAATATTTCATTATAAAACGTATAAATTAAATAAGCTGTTTTTGTTTTGAATTTGCAATAGGCCATTGTAATCTTTTACAAGGACGAGGGGTGCAAGTCTCTGATGCAACAACTTATGGTAGAATTTGTACTTCACAGTTTTAAGTTGTTCGAGGTGAGTTACATAAATAGCAATAATAAAATTGTAACTACAGAAATAAAACTTCTCTCGATTAATTTTTTTGTATGCTTTCTACTGCAAAATTTTTTAAAAGTTAAAGACTTCTGATTGGGACTATTTTATTGGTTTGACATCAAATGAATTTAACTACCCAGTAGAAGGGAGTTAACAGTCTTTTCTTAATCTCAGTCCGAGTAATAGTCTCAATCTAAGTTTAATCCTTATATGTACATATCGTCGTTTAAAGTACAAAACCGCGTATCAACAAAATGCGAAACCGCGTATCAAGATACTGCAAAACCGCGTTTGTGGGGTTACATAAATTATTTTCTAGAGTGTAAAAGCACTCATACTTCAAAATGGTTCTCTTTTTTATAAAGCAATCGAATTTCTGGCTAGTATATTTCAGTACGAATGGATAAGGATTGAGCCAAGAGCTTGTGTCAGCAAATCCAATTTTTGGAAGTAAATGTCAGTTACGCGGTTTTGCAGAATGACGATACGCGGTTTTGTACTTTAAACGACGATATCTTTATTTTGTATAATTCAATCTCAAAATTAATGCAGCGTGAAGAAAAAGAGCGAGAAATATCAACATTTTTTTCGCGGCGATTTTCTAAATTGCTTCTGCTGCTATGAAGTTTCAATATAAAAAATATTGTTTAAGGTGTATACATTTATTTTTTTATCTACAGTCAACGCCGGAGAACGCTTTCTCAAATATCGCCGACACTATAGAAATGTTCTACGCTTGCCTCATGCAAATCATTAAAAAGTTGCCACAAGCGCTCGATGATAAGGCCATTGCTTATGATAAACTAATATATTATGCATTAAAAGCGATGACTTTGCCCGAGAATGGGCCTATTCGGACCAGTGTGCAGTTCCTTTCACATTTTGTACTGCAATCGCGAAATTATACAGGCATGACACAGGCGGTATTGAATGCAGGCGAGGAGATCCTCCGCACGGCGGTTCTGTGTGTAGGTTGTATTACTCCGCGCCAACAAGTGGAGAAATTCGCCGATATTTTCATGTCGATCAACAAAAAATATCCAGCTGAATTGGTTGCTTGGCTAAAGTCAGTGATGCAGGTACCTAACTTTCCTACACAGCTTGTCGACGAAGCTGAGAAATCGAAATTCGTCGCTCAGGTTATAAGGTAAAATAATAATAATAATAAAATAAAGTAAAGTCATCTTATATGAATTGCATTTCGTTGCAGGGAGAAGGTAAACAAACGTCTGCTACAAAAGCATCTTAGCGACTTCGCTATTAAAGCACGGGGTCTCACTGATAAATTTCAATAAACCTCGCCAATGCCAATGTTAAAGAAAATGCAAATGAAAAAACGAAAAGCTATATAATTCCTTGTTGCCAAATTGTATAAATTCTAAAATTCATAAACGGTCGGTTGGAGTCAGCTACCAAATCAGAACTCATAAGTAATCGTTTGAATATGTTTCGCTTTTCTGCTTCTAACTATGATGATAATGTTTAAGTGTTTTTTAAGCATGTACGCTGTGCGGAGGAGTATGCTTAAAGTACTACAAGCTTAGTCTTTTTTAGTCTTTTTTTTTAGTTAAAAGTGAGCGATGAGTATAGGTTTACACACAACAATATTTTTTTAAGTCATGTCCCTGATGTATGCAAGAAGTTTTTTTTAAGCTTGTTTCTGAGAACAATTAGATTATGAAGGTTGTTTAAAGAAAATAAAATGTACTTTCTTTATTTGTTATGTTTTATTTTTTTCTATCTATGTAATAAAATAGTTACATAATGATTTTTATCTTTCTTTTAATATGAGTGCTCTTATTATACGAGATAAGAGCAAATGATACATAGATGACAACGTTAATCAGGAATCACATCGCAATAGATCCGATTAAAATTGTACACTGACAGACTGCAGTATTGCGGATTAAAAGAGCCGCCAATTTTTTTTTTTTATGGTGGGGGATTAAGGGTCACGCCTAGCAGTAATATTTTTTTAATATAATCGTAGCCCGATTTTCGTGAAATCATCGAAATTGCGATCACTGTGTATTCAAAGTACATACATACAGCCATGTGACAATTAATAGGGACACGACATTTTGACCAGTTTTGGCTATTTTTCCATTGTTTGTTTAATGTTGATCTCTTTTGTCTAACAGAAACCACACAAGTCCAAATTTCAAACTTTGTAGCAAAATTTGAAAAATTCAACAAAATTTTACAACAAACTTTTTATTTTAATTTTTCCAAAAAAAAATCTAAGTATGCAGTTTTATAGCCCATTAAATTCTAGCTTAAGAAAGTGCAAGTTTCAAGTAGCTAAAAATTCCCGTTGATTTTTGATAATTTGCGGATAGTGTTTTTATTTTCTTCCATACAAAAAAAATTTCGAACACCAAACCAAATTAATTTAACATAGACGCAAATTAATATAACCCAACCGGAAATTAAATTAAACTATCGATTAGTTACTTGTAGTTTGAAGCTATAGTCAAAAAATCCTTGACTCAAAGTAATTAACATTAATATATAATAATTTAGGAATTTTGTGAACTATGTAGACACATTCGTCGAGACTTTGGAGAAAATGTATCGTCGTTGGAAATTTAAATTTTAATCCTTATTTACATTTGCCAGCAGTGTAAACTTTGAGAGAAAAGTTCATTTGGCACGCAAGTCTTTCTCAGGTGTATTTTTTCTTAGGCTTAGTACAAAAAATTACAAAAACCAAGAAAAACTGTATAAGGTTGTTCGAATAAATGGCCGTCCTAGTCACCAGTTCCGAGTCTATTCGAAGGGACTCGAAATGGAGAAAATTAGCCTATGGTTACAGAAGATATTGAATAAAGTAACTGACGAAGACCTGCGAACGTAAATAGGGATCAAAATTTAAAAACTAATTAATACAACTAAAGTAAAATCTGTGGAAAATTAACAATAAAATACGTTTTCCCCCAAAATCTATAACGGACCCTTTTATTTCTCAAAAAAAAACCTGGGTAACAGTTATTCGTCGCCACGCTGTATATATGTACCATTTGGTTGGAAGAAAGGAACAATTTTAATTGGAAGCAATAATCGCCTGGTGTGAACGGCCTTTCAACTAATTGCTTCCAATGAATTTGGGAGGCTGCTAACTTTGGATTCAACTAATCAACTCTAAAATCGACTCATGTAAACACCATATAATAGTAATAGCTGTGTTGCGTTGCATTTCTATTTGGATTATTAAAATTTGGATTTGGTTTAATTTAATTTGCGTTTGGTTTAAAATAATTACCGTTTGAATTAAATTAATTTGCGTTTGGGTTAAATTGATTTGCGTTTGGTTTAAATAAGTGAGCGAATAGACATACACACGCCTATTGCGAGTGTCGACTACCATGGAAAAGCGATAATCGAATAATAGTCGTTTATCTAATACTAGTCGACACTCGCGATAGGGGTGACATACTTTTTAATAGTCAAAAGTTTTCTAATTCATATGTATGTATGTATGTACATTCAATAATATGATTGTAAGTGTATGTGTATCAACATATTTAATGGAGTACATATCGAGTTCCGACCACCAAAAAACGCATGCGACATTATTTCTGCGTTGTTTTTTTTATAAAAACAACATCTTAGAGTATTTAAATGAATTTCTGCATCAAAAGTTAAATTTTGAAAAAATTTACATAACGTTTTTTGGCGATTAGGGCTCGATATCTTTAAGCGAATATTGTGCAAAATGTGATAGTAGTGTTTTAGAAATATGAACCTTCCCCAAAACTTCCGCAAAAGAAAAATAAAAAATGCTAACAAGTTTCCTTCAAAATCATATAAATATAACACATAGAGGCGTATTTTGTATGTATGTTATAACTGTGAATGCTTAATTATTATATCCAACTTTTAATGGCAAATAAATA